AACAATCCTGGGGGTAATGATTCACTCTTGCACACTTTACCATTATCTTCAGGGATCTGAAAGGGGTCTCTGCGAGGAAAAAAGAAGAAAAAGCAGACACAGAGCTACTCACCTTTTTCAGCAACTTTTTAAAAAGTCCTGCCCAACTGCATTTGCTGTAAATATTATATTATTGCTGAGTGCAGGGCTTGTTAAAGCTTGTGGTACTGTTGTTTATGGAACTGTTTGCACCCAGACTTTTCTACCATAGATATACACATTCACTGCCTGGCTTTTAGAATTTTAACAGAAATAAAAATCTAGCCATTTGTGGGGATAAAATTTTGCACAGAAGCTAGCCGTTAAAGAGGAAATATAACCTTCAGATTTTATTCCTTAGACTAAATGTGATGTGACACATATGGGTTAGTCAAAATGTTTAATGTTGCATGAAGTTTGAGTGATCATTTCATTTAATCTTCTGATGATGACATGCTATGTAATTTGTTAGCTTTGGGATATAGGAAGATAAAGACACATTTTAAAATGTCTTCTAAAAATAACGTTGTCTTTCAATGTATCAAATTATATGGTAAAAACCCCATCTTTTTGTTTTATCTGAAAAAAAGGGAATTGTGAAGGATTTCTCTCTGAGAGCACTTGACTTGACCTCTTCAAAGTTCACAGCATACTGTAACACACAAAAATCCTCCCTAATCCCATCTCACTTGTCTTTCCAATGCTATCTCAGTTCAAAATCCCACTGAAACCTGCACACTTTGTGAGTATGTGTGCTAAAAACAAAGGAATAACACAAAGAGAAAAACAACTTGCTTTTTCACATAATAAATTAATTCCAGCAGGTAGAAGGAAATGAATCAGCTCATGTGAGACTGCAGAAAAGTGAGAGTTCTGAGATGATGTACAGCTGTGCATAATTTTGCTTAATTAAGATGCAGTCAAATGAGGCAAGAGAAATGAGTCAAATGAGAAAAGAGGACCTTTGACAGAAAAGGTACAGATTCCACTTCCAACAAAGAAGCGAAGTTCTGATAATCACTAAACTTAAAGCAAATTTGAAAGGCTATGCCAGAGACTTCTTTTAAGGAAAACCACAGTTCTCTTTTGTGACCTACTTTGCCTTAATTTTTTCCCTTCCCCTACTATCATCTCTAAGATGCCGTATTTCTCCTCACTCACAAGGATCAGATAACTCTTTAAAAAAGAGTACTTCTTAGTGTAAATAATTCCAAAGCCATTTTTGCTCTAAGTAGAATTACAGGAAACATATATTGAATAGAAAACAACTACTACAGATTGCTGGTTTTTGGAGACAGCCAAGGAAATTTAAATGGAAACTTCTTTGAAGATAACATTTCTGTCTCTGCTGAGCTAACCACTGCTAACTCAACACGCTTCAAATTTTCATCACTTCCTGACCTGGTTAATGACCAACATTGTGGCAGAGTGAAGATCCAGAGTCTTTTGAAGGTATAAAACTATCTACAAAGAGCCAGCCACACTTGCAGTAAAATTTCTCCTGAGTCCCTGAATGCTGTGAGTGCTCAGATCCATGGCTTCCTGGAGGTCCAGCAGACAAGTCAGTGTAAAAGGCATTTCCAGCACAGTGAAAAGCCCACAGGTACCACAGACTGCATGCCTGCCACTAAGCACTCTGCTCTTTTGGTTTGGCTTTTTAAAAGAATTATTGAATAGCACCCTGAGTTTCCTGTGCTCTGAACATTTTATGCAGTATTATCTGCTATTTTCTTATAGAAGGATGGCATTTTAAATGTTTCTTTGGTGGTTAGACATGTTCTGTTTAATACACATTTAGGACTCTGGAAGTAGGACTGAAATCCCCTCAGATCTAGTATTTTGTTTTTACTTTGATTTTATAAGGCTACACTTGAGTTGCTACACTGATATTTAATTTTACATGGATACAGTCTTAGCAGATTTTTACCTGGATTCATGCCACCAGCCTGTACTCATCCAATCACCAAGCCACCTTGCTTGTGGAAATAAGGTTTACAGTATTTCATTATTACTTCATAAAGCATCAAACTCTCTCTGGTATAGGAAAAAATTCTGGAAAAAATTCTTCTAAGAAGTGGATTACTTGCTTTAAAACATGACAGTACAATCAATTATGTGATCTAAACTAGCAGAAAATCTGACAGTAGAAAGCAGAACACTAAAAGACAAGCCTTCTGTGGGATATCTCCTGTCCAGTTAAGCTGTTTGTTACCTAGTCTGAGGCTGGAAATCTTATTTCTGCATTATCAATATAGCTCATTCTTCCCTCGAAAAACCTGCAACTGCTTGTTATAAGACCTGATTGTCAGTCTTTTTATCTTTATCCCTCTCAACTTTCATGATATATTCAAAAGAACAGTTTAGAAGAAACTGGAGCATATGAATTTAGGGTATTTTTCTATTTTTTTCACTGCTGCAGGTAATTACATCAGTATAGTGTTATTTGGCTTATTACTCTTGAACTCAGCCAGCATTGGGGAGTTCTTTATGTGAAGCTGTCATCAGCAGAGATGCTTAGCAAAAAAACTTCTTACAGAAACTGCTGTAATCCTCATGCTTTCCAAGACAATTTTATTTACTATGAATCAGCATGACATCCACTCCAGATCCTTGAGACTCCTGAGCAGTAAATACATGTCCTAACAGCAACAGTGATGTAGATTACATGGTTCTATTCTGATTCACTGAGTTTGTCAACAGGAGAGAGATGATGAAAGTTTAATGGATAGAACAGAAAAATTCAGAGGTATTGATTACTGTAAGTAAAGCTGTCCTAAATGAGAACAGAAACAATCAGAGGATTTCTTTATGTTAGAAGATAGACCTACCTAACATATTTTTCACATATTGAGTTCTTTTCCAGGAGACACATTTGCTTTGATGTCTGAAAAAATTGCTTTACATCATTCAGAGAAAAATAAAGTTATGTCTCCTATAGTAGCTTCCAAGGTAGAATGTCACTTCACAGAACACATATTTCTTCATATATTGCAGTCAATGGTAATTAGGTAAACTCTGAAATGCTTAGGAAAGAAACTAGTATACTTCAACCACTGTAATTTTCCTGTTTGCCCCGAGGAGAATCTTTTTGTTTTGTTTCTGGCCAGCAGAGATTTTGTAGTTCCAAGAGCAGTCATTCCACCTACTTCCTTACATTCTTGATTTATTTTAACAAATAAATGAAAAACTCAGCAACTAACCACAATAATTTTAAAAATGGAAAAAAAGTAATCCAAAAAATCAATAAACCAACTAAGAAACTTTGAGGACAGAATGGACAATCTCTTAAACATTTTAGAAAATTCCTCCAAGTTTCTCATCCTAACATTTGGTCACCTCAAATCACAGCCATATCTCCTCTAGCCAAATTCTACAATATACTCTAAATGTGAGAAATAAAAGTTATAGTTACATTGCTTGTGAAAAGAGAAATCATCCAGGTCTTAGAAAGACCACAACCAAACAGCACCCTAAAATTGTTTCCCCTCTTATCATTAATTCCAGCATAAGCACAGGTATTGATAAAACCCTACAGCCGTATGGATTGTAGTAAAAGCAGCTTTGACAGCTGAATTCCACAACATCTAGGACTTCATCAGCCAAGGCACACCAAGCTCCACTCATGGTGGAAACAGGCAAACACAGACTGACCCACAGAGTCCTGCTCATGCAGCAAAAGCAGAGTGGTTATTTCAGAGGAGAATGCTCACAGGGCAGGAAAAGCTTCCTGGCAGTTACGTTTTTTGGGACATGAAGGGGGTCATTCAAGGCCAGACCTCCTCTCCCCAGTAATTACAAGTATGCCAGTGTGACACACTGAGCACGGAAGGTATTGATGGATGACAACAACATGATTAACTTCCAATCTTTTTCCAGTTTGTGGGAGGAAGAAAAACACGCACCCGAGGCCACAAGTGCAGAGCCTGTGCCAAACCAAGGTCACGACGCTGACACAATTTAAAGGCGTCAGCAGCATCACAGCACTGGGGGATTCCAGCCACCACCACATTTTTCAGTGCTAACCATGAACAGCAAAGCTGGATGTTGGTTGACAACTCAGAATTTTAGTCATTAAGTAGTGGCTTTCTGGGCAAAGACGCTGCCTGAAACAATTATGATCATTCTTTCTTCAGGAGTCACAGACGGTTTCTACTAACAGACTTTATCAGCAAAGACTAAATTCCAACATAGCTGCAGAGCTTTCAGAGGCAAATCAGAGTCATTAGGTGATGTACTCTTACCTGTATTATTTAGGCCACAGATGTTTGCTCTGAGCTACTCTACTGAAATCCCAAAATCTAAGGTTAGCAACTGCTTTTAAAATATAAAACCAGAAAAATAAGCCATGGCTGAAAGACTCCAAACATACTGTCTCTTAGTAGGCTTTCTTCAGTGGTTTATCGCTGTATTTTCAACAAATTCATCCTCCTGCTAATTCACTTCTCTTTAACCCTCAGCCCTTGGTTCTTTTTGATAGCACAGAGCATTCAAGCTGCACCAAAACTAGTTCTGCAACATCCCTGTGAGGGTTCAGGCACAGATGCAATGATAAAGATCCAGCAGTTAAAGTCTGTACGACCAGTATTTCAAAGGAACCACTTTTGCACTCCACAGCATGTGTATGTATCACGGAACATGGCTAATGGCCAAACTCTTCTCTTCTTAAAGTAACAGATAAAACCAGCAATATTTAAACTGTCTTGCTTCATCTTCCTGTTCCTGGAGGTTTTTCCCTTTAAAACGTTCATCAGTTAGTCTTCCCCCTTCTTCCCAGTGCACAACAGCATTGATTTACAATGGTTTGATACAAATTCTTTCCTTCTAAACATGCACCCTATTCAACCCATCCTCCTACACAGACTTAACCCAATCTCTGATCTTTTATTTTGCAATCATGTAATTTGATGTGCAATCTTCTGTAAGATCTCAATTTTAGCTGAATAGACAGTCTTATAAACACCCTTTTAAAAGCAGATACTGACCTTGAGGTGAGGCTGAAGGAAGCAGCAAATCCAGGAAGGAGATGCGAAAGAGAAAGAGTTAAGAGTTTGTGAAAACAGAGTCCAGAGATAAAGCAGTTCAAGAATAAAGGACAAAACAAGCAGATATAAATCAGGTAATGACACACAGACACACAATCATTCACAAACACAGAGCTGCATGTTTTATAGACATCTAATTTAAAAAAACTAAAAAAAACCCCAAAAACCAAGAAAAAGAAATAAGAGAAAAAAAGGACCTTTAGATTAGATTACACCATTTCAATTAGAGGCAACTTTCTGTAGAAAAAATAGTCTCCAATAGGTAACAGTTCTTGGAAAAAGAAAATAAGCCATCTTACAAGAAAACTCTGGATTTACATCACATCATTAGCAAGCACCCTTCTTCCAGAATTCTAATGAACATTTTAAAAATACAGAGTTTGACTATCTGAGATGAAACCTCGTGTTTCCTTTATGACATCTTCTAAGGGCTTATTTTCTCTCCATGAGCAAGACATGCAATTCTTTTACTTTTCCTGCAGATGATCCCAACTTGGATAAAGGGACTAAACAGAAAGGAAAAAAACCCCAATCACTGAGTAAAGTCCTTGAGACCTGAAGATTTGTCAAAGCTCATCTTTCTTAATTTTGACATTGAAGTCACTCTATTCGAAGAGAAACAAAAAAAGCAGCTGCCTCTTCTTCCTGCCACATAATTCTCCTGTATAAGGTGCAATCTAAGAACAATAATGACCAAATAGGTATTTTTTTGACAGTTCTCTCCAACATTGTTCAACAGCAGAACTGACCAAGACAAAATGCTGGAGTCCCCTGTATAACATGAGGTCCCATAGGTTCATTATTGCTTTTTTTTTCCCCAAATGTCTCCAGTATCTTTCATAGGCATCTGCTGTCAATTTCACTGATAACAGCAAGGTAAGTCAACAAGGAACCAAAAATATAGGTCTTTTCAAATTGATTTTAAATTTGATGATTTTCAGTCTATAAAAGAGAGGTAAAGGAAATGTCCTTCTGTCCAAAGCAGCAATTTGGCTTTGACAACATTTGCTGTACTTCTCCCATGGCAAAATTTCACTCTAAAAAAGGCAGGATATGGGCTGGATAAAAATATTTCTATAGGACAGGCTAACTGCTATCTTCTTTATCACTCTTGGTATATGGAGGCATGTAAATAAAATCTGAAGTCCTTATTTATGGCATAAATTTCACTATCAATCGTGTTGGGTATTGAATTTGTACAAGCAGCTGTTATTGGTCTGTAACACATTAACTAATGCAAAAGTACTTTTCTTTGGCTTCTCAGCCAACATTCTTCAAATCAAGCTCTCCAAGGACAGTTGTTGTAAAGGCTGTATTACTTGGGGATGTGGGGAAAGATGAGGCTTGTAAAATGTCAAATACCACATCTCAGTGTTTGATCTTGAAGTAACTTACAACGTTCCAAAAGCCTTGGTTAATTCATACTGAAAAACATGTAAGTAACAATTCTGACTGAAATCCAAGACTACAAGCAAATTTAACAACAGGGAACAAAAATGTGAAAATAAACAGTTGGTTAAATTTGGGAATAACTACAGTAAGGGGGAAAATTTAAGATTCTCATTTTGTGTTTCAGGAGTCCTTTGGTTGTGTTGTGATGATGTGATATTGTTTCTTCAGTTTAACAGTGAAAAACACACAGGCTACAACTCGGAACAGCCCAGTGGAATTTAAATGAACCATACAGTTCTGCCAACTGCTATTAAAGGTAGCATCTTTTGCTGGCACAGGATGAAGGCAGCAACTATGCTGAGGTCACTTGCAATTTTTTGTGTGCTACAGAAGTATTATTTAACGAGCTGCATGGGTTTTAAAGAGAGAATAATTATTGCCACATCTCCATTTTGTTATGGAATAATTCTTTCTTCCAAAGAAAAATACATTTTCTGTAATTGCTAGCCCCTTTTCAAAGTTTTTGTTACAGAGGTACAAAATATTTTTTAGAAGTATGGATTTTTAGAATAATCATAATATTTATCTGAACAAAAATAAGGACTATGTCTGAAAGCACATTAAGATTAGGGAAAAAAATCTCTAAGTGTGCTGTCACTCAAACTAAAAGCAAGGCAGACACCTGAAACTGTCAGCTATTGGGAAGTACATGGAGATCTGCCATGGACTGCAGCTGAAGCCTCAGTTCATGGGCTGTATCAGTGAAATTGAACAGAGGAGCACAGCAAGCATCTGCCCCAGGCAGCAGCCCCAAGCAAGCAGGATCAGATACATACCGAGACACACTCATTACAGAGCAAAATCCCAAGTTTTAGTTTGCACTCTTTCCCTTCAAGCAAGAACACACACTTGTAGCATTCTTTACAAGACCCAGCAGCAGTGCTCCTGCCCAGCCCCATTAACTGTGTACTCACACAGGGAGACAAGACAATTGTAATGCCAACTGGCAGTCCCAGAGAAACCCACTTTCTTTTAAAATACCATCCTGCTCATTTTAAAGGAAGAGCTGACTTTAATCTGATCACTGGGTGCAGATCAAAAAAAATGAGATGTGAACTCTTAAGCATTTTAATTAAGAAATTTGTATTTTAAAAGCTGTTGGTTATTCCAGCTGCAATTTTTTCCACATGCTTGTGTATTATAGGGAGTGGAATGAGCCTGCAACATTTGTCTCAGATGTACTTAGCATGTAGTTTATGTAACGATTTTCAGTCAACCTTTGAATTCCCCTTGTTTGACAGTGAGTGATTGTGTATATTTATTACTCTGTCATCCCTTCAAAGCAGTCTGACAGAGAACAATAGGCATTTGATCTTCCTTGTGTCTGTCAACGCAGAAAGGCTATTTATGTTTACCCCTTTTGACAGGTTTTCTTGATAAAAAGAATGATGGCTGGTCTTTTCCTTTTTTCTAGGTTGGTATTTAGAGGGATAGGGAAGAGATGGAGAGGCAGAGACAGAAGGTTTGTGTGCACATCCATGCACACACGTATGCATGGATGTAAGAGCACAAACCCAGCCACAGATGGCCACAATGGAGCACTAAAATTACTATTTCACTGAATTACTGGCAATTACTTGCATATTCCTCTTGTTCTTTCTGTATTCCAAGACAACGCCGAGATCTGACACTTTTATTTTGACTATATCAGCTACATAAAAGAGAATTTTGGTGGGTTTGGTTTTTTTTTCACTCCTTTCACATCAGGTTGTGAGTATGGATACTCCCATATTGCTCAAAGATGTTTCAGTAAACAAAAGCTCCAAAACAGCTTTTGAAGAGATGTAATAAAGGCAGGTAACAATGAAACTGACATGCAGACTAGGCTCATTATTTACATTGTGCTCTATCTCCTCATGTTTATAATTATTTTAATTATACCACAGCTATTACACTCTACTGATCTAACAACTGGATTAGGAGATACCTGCTAAATAAAATCCATTATTTCTACAATGTAAGGCAGATGACAACTCCTATACTCATTACAGATAATAGGCATGAGAGGGAATGCTTGAAAACCACCTTGATTTAATGATAAAAACAAGCAGGACTTCAGCAATATGGAAAATTTGGCAGGAAAAGAAGCCTTTAAAGAAGTTCACAACCAGTGCTTCTCATTACTGGTATTTCTCTAGTGCAGGGTTCTTCCTGGAGGATCCAAGGTCGGATCCTTACACTTAGATTAGCAGACAAACCATGCTTTCAGCCAGCCCACTGCTGAACTCAGCAAAGGAGTTGGTCCATACTCAGTTCTGTGGACACAAATCACTCTGCTTAGCAGTGTCCTGCTGCTGGAACATGGATTTAATCTCAGTTTAGATGGTTCACTGAGGGGATAACACAGCAAGCTCTGATATTCAGCCAGGGCCTGCACCTGCCCTGACCTCTCACCATGTCAGGAGCTGGACTAATTGGGGTTCTCTGACTTTGTGTTTTAGAACAGCTGTTTCTGCAATATCACAAAGTTTCAGTTTCTCCCAAAACAGAGGGAAAGATTGGGAAATAAAGGACAGCTGAATAAAGAACAAATCTAAGAAGGATATCCAATTATATGAAAAAGGTGAGGATGGATTGAGGAGTCACTGTAAAATCACTGTGATGGGGTTTTTATCTGGTGCTCTCTACAGATGGATTTGCAATTACTGGCAGTGTCCCTGTGTCTTTCTTTTCCTTGCTTAGATGTAGGTTTCAAAAGCAATTAGTGAGTCTGAGTGCTGCTCTTAAGGCACTTTAACAAAGCTTGACTTCCATTTGCTTTCTGACAACCAGCATACTTTCAAATGTCTTAAGTTAAATACCTGTAAGCAAATGTGCTTGCACCTTCTATTCTTATCTGTTTAAAGAAATTATGTTGATATTAAATGCTTTTTGTTTTCCTCCTGTGAAACTTGATACAGAACCACAGGGGTAATGCTGCTCTTGTATGAAGATAAAGCAAGACTGAGAAGAAAGAAATTACTTCTTCCTTTCCTACCTTGGAAATGATGAAAATCTTAATATTCAACAGATCTGTGTGCTCAGAGGTGGAGCTGGACTAACTATGGACCTGACCACTTCTTTCCATTACAAAACCCAGTTCTCAGCTGCTTGCCAAATACTAAAAAGTTGTGCTGCTATTTCCCATGACAGGTTCAACCTAACGAGGGATTTTTGTGGGAAATTTCAGCTGTGTCCTTCACAAAAGGCAGCATTTTTATGGAAAAAAAAACTGTTCACATATGGTTAAAGAGTGTATCATTTCGTGTAAGATGTGAATTAAAATTGGAAGGCAATCTTCATTTCAGAATATCCTAAGTTTTGAATGATTTACCTTGGAATTTTAATGTTCACTTAAGCTACAGATTTTTCAGGGAAGTGGATGAAAAACACAACAACAACAACAATAGATTCTGCCTTGTAATAACATCATGCAAGTATAAGATAAATATATTTGCTTTTATGTTTTATGGCAACAAAATGGATTGAAGGATTTTAAAACAATATTTAATTGTTTTGGG